TAAACATGAATAATGTACGCGGGGATAACCAAATAATAATAATAATATAATAAAATTGACATACAGTTATTTCCTCTGAGAAAAAATAAATATACAACATTGTGCATTGTGAGTAAACTAGGATAGACGTTTTATTTACATATGAGTGTACCCCAGATAAAGGGCACGTGGTCCCCTCTCCAGTCTCTGAGCACCCCCCACCCCCCACCCCGTGTAACCGCATCAGACACGAGAGAAGTATAATCTAAGAAGGACTGTCTTATATTCTATCAATAAGGACAGCACCAGCGCCCAGTGACATGATCTGAGATTATTTGGCCTTTCGTGATTCGCCGACGTCTTATTTGATGGGCATTCATCTAGTAATTCCTCTAAAATGTGTTAAAGAACACAATGGCGTTACATGTGTACATATTATGCATATTATCTATTCCTATGAGGTTTAGAGTGCTCTAACAAACCCCGGTTTTGAGCAACGCTGCTCATCTCGTGTCCACAGAACGGATACGGTTTCGCAATAGAACTCAACTGATTTCTTATTTGAAATCGATGGTCAGTACGATCGCACACAGGGGCGTCAAACGGGGGGGGGAGGAATGACCCCCCTTCCCCACGAATTTGTTTGTCCCCGTCAAGGTCTGGCTTACCATTTCCTTTCTTATACTATATTACACCTTTACAGGCCCGGTTGTAGTTTGAAATGCCCTAGAATTGCTCATTTTTTCTAAATTTCTGTTCGCTTCCCTCGCTACCCCAGCCCCCCACCCCCAAAAAAAGCAAAAATTACGCCCCTGGCCGCACGCTGATGGTTTGCGCTCCACCGTGACCATTATTTTGCAGATGGGATTTGTCATTTCTGTTGCCGTGTCTCGACAAAAGAAAAGAAACCCGTTTCTTGTACATACTTGAGATCATGGACGTTACCAAATTTAAATGACAATAGAAGCTGAATTTGTTTAGGGCACAGAGTCTATGTAGATTGTGCAAAGTTATATTGAGTTTTGACCTTGGCAAAAAAGAGCTTTAGCTAATAGCAAGTGAGTGTTACAGGATTCTTCCCACGGCCTTATCTCCGCACTTTCTCCCGAGCCTTTACCTTTCGCCGCTTCTTGTGTGGACGTGAAATCACCTCATCCTATGTCGACTTCCACCCAGTCGTTGCCCACTGCTTTCTTAACTGTAGTAGCATCCTTTGGCCTCCGGATAAAATACGGGCTTCTCCTGCATATCCCTTATACACAACTGCATTTTATTCTTCATACGTCATTCATCTCCTTGCCATAGTGAATTCATCCAGCATGCCAATCTCATCCTCTGTTTTCCCTTTTTATGGCCCAAGGCCTCTGCCCTATGCATCTATGTTAACCTTATAATGTGTGATTGCAATTATTTGTTCAGATTTGACGTATACATTTGTCCAAAAATATTGGCTTTGACACCCTTTCTAACTGCCTTTTTCACGTCCTTTTGTATTCATTATACATTTTATACACTAATCATGGTTATTTTAGTAATTTTCCTTCATTTTGAGTTACTGTAATGCTAAGGTCATCTGTCCCTTCTTTAATCCTACTTCCCATTCGGTTTCGTCAATCAAACTTTCATTCGACCTTTTCGAAAACTACTCCACTCATCCCGCTGTATATTTTGTAACTCCAGACTCCGCAGACAGGAGCGACCACGTTTCTTTCCGCTGTAAGTATCGTTAATATGCTACTAATACGCCATGGAACGGATACCGAACCAACGGTGCAAAAGGGTGATCGATTCTTTAAGAGTTAGGCCTGAACACCCAAACTTCATATATACTAAAGATGTCAGTTACAGTAGGCTTGATTTAAATGGACTGCTTCGATGGTCTGGCCTTTCCACCATGCTAAATGCCTTTATGCGTCGAGAATGTTATCATGAAGCACATCACTGAAACCAGTTTGCTTCCTGTATTATGTTTTCGGAACCGGTTCATCACTTGACCACCCCAAAGCTTATCAAACATGATTAACCAAATATGAAAAGATTATTTCATTAATTATGGTCAGGAGAAAAGTAAATGAATTCGTCAGTGAGAATGGGATTGCAGCACCCTTCGCCGAGGTGCAACGAAGCTTTGGCATATCGTGTTCAGATGCCGCGTCGGCCAGATCTGGAAGTCGAGAGCAACACTCGTCAAACGCTTTTAGTCTGAATATATTATTGGAACAAGAAAAACCCTCTATACATTTAGGAAGTGATATTGAGCGATAAATTTGAAATCTAACATTTCCACATATTGAACCTCATCCAGTGACACTAGTGGCTAGGATGATGGCATTACTGAGACACCTTATACTGCTGAACTAAGAGTGAAATGTATTTTTTCATGGGCACCTACGATATGTCGTATCTATTGCCAACTACAAGATTGCTATTTGGCTCCAAAATATTTATTAATGATAACGCAAAATTAATGGAGTAATGTGATTCAAGCCACTTAAATCCAGAAACTACAGAGTACTAACACATAACAAAAACATTAGTGAGATTATCACTACCTGATGCCAAGTATGAAATTAAAGTATTCGCACGTCGTAAGAGAATCGTTCTAATATCTGCAGGAAAAATGAAATGAAGGCCTTATAAAATAAAATTTAGAAACAGTTATGTATGTGTAAAGATATGAGATGTTAAGTTAAGCACCAATCTTAACAGAATTGAAGATAAACAGGACAGTCCTCTCGTTTCACGAGGAATTCTTGGCAACTTGTCACCAATAAGAAGAAACTAAAACATTTTTTTCTTTTTTGTCTAAGAAAATATTTTTACCACTGTATACAAAGAACCTAGTTTTTCTTTGTCAGTTGCCTACAGGGAATTAATATTACTTTCCGAAATGGCTCTGGCCCCAAAGTTGAGCCTTTAGGGAACACCGTACTGTTCCTAAGGCGGATGTTTTAGCATGTTTTATTTTTATTATTTATGCTGTTATTACATATCTGGTTGAAATTCAGCAGTTCCAACGAAGGGCCAGTGAGTGGTGTCAAGTATATTTCAAGCACTAGAAGCAATATGTTCAGGACATAATTACTTTATCCCTTGATTTTCGGATATTACTTCTGGAAACATGTGACAGGCGGTAAAATGTAAGTGAAATACCGTTGACGAAATTATATAACGTCTGGAATCAGTATCGTTTTTGAACCACAGACAGGAATGACCGGTGACATATTGTGCTTGTGACATCGATTGTGGAGATTTCTATAGGTTTAACTGACTAAAAAATAATAATAATAGAATAAAAATTTTAAAAAATAATAATAAAAAATTAAAACATCGTAATCAAATGGTATCGGAACAGGGCCGGTGGGGAAAAAATTTCTTAATTATTTTTATTTTCGAAAATCTGGAAAAACAAGTGCGGCGGATCCGTAGACCAAGAAATAAGATAATTGTCGCCTTTGGATTATATCAGATACTTAATGAAATATGCTCATCATATGTTAAAACGTATGCCTCAAGCAAGGCCTGAATCATGCCTGATGCAGGAAACCAAGGCACAAAAAGGTGTTTTTAAAGATATTAAGAGTTTTCCTCAATGTTTATGACGAGTAATATGCAATAGATTGAATATATATAGTTATATCTTTTATAAATACATATATATTTGGCTTCGAAAACTTCAAATTATGTCAAGCTCATTTACTTTAAACTATACATGTGTAAACTACAGATATTACAATTTGGCCAACGAAATATAAAGGATGCAACGCCAGGATTTTTAAGGACTTCCACACTCCTTGTCGGTCAGAGAGAAGGCAGCCTTGTTATTGAGTACGGTATGTACGTCAGGGTAGTTCTGGTAGAGCTCTTGAAGGTCTGTTTACACTTTGAACGGACTGCCGGAAATTCGAAAACATCTTGTTTGGAGTTAGATGGCTAGTGATATAGGAAAAGGAAATCTTAACAATTCCTATTCTTTTCAGACGCTTTTTCGTAGATAGATGCTCGATAATCGATGAATACAGAGAACAGATGCGTAAGTGCTAGATTTCAGTCACCTACGTCGCCTCATCATTAATTTGTAGCTGATCATATTTCTGAAGTTCTACAGAACAGGATAATTTATCGAAAACCTAATTATCCCGCTCATGACCCAGAGATATCTCAATTACAAATCAGATTGTGGTATATTAATATGATGTTATGATTATGTAATTGACTAACAGCCCAACTGCAAACTCAACACCATCGTATTTGCACAAAAACCGAGGAAATCGCGGCTACATTTACCACTGAATAGTTGTATAGTCGAATAACTGAGCTGACGTGAAGTGCTTGAAGAAGGAATTTCGATTCATTAATATTGATCATGACCATGTCAGTGAATAGCATTGTTTTTAAGGCAGGACTTGCAAACGGAGGCCACCCTTGGCGGATACATTGGTCACCTCAGAAAACGAAGGCAGAATGATATGCAGGTGTCTATTGTCAAGGAAATTGTTGATAAAAAAGGAAAAATACAATATGCAAATGTCTGTGACAAGGACAATAGTCGCCTCTTCTTCTGTGTCAAAGTCTGATCCACACTGAAAACGACTCGTGTAAAGGAACCCTGGATGAGCTGTTCGTCCACGGAACGACGAGCTGTCCTTACCAGAGGCAGTCCCCAGGGCCCCGGGGGCATCTGCCACCACAGGCGCGCCCACTGCAGGAGTCTCAGGAGCGCCAGCAGCAGGGTGGCAGCAACAAGTGTCCCAGCGAACCCCGTGTCCGGCCAAAGGGAGTGGGAAGGCGCCATGACAAGATGACCTGAAAGACAACGCACAATAAGCACAAGAGAAAGTGAAAATAATGGCGGGCGAATTCCCGCTTCTGACCGTAAGGAGGGAATACATATATGCTTGTGTGTACTCCAATATATGCATATACTTACATACATACCTATATACATATGTGTATGCGTGTATGTGTGTTGCATGTTTAAGTGTGTGTGTGTGTGATTGCACATATGTATTTATATTTAT